CAGGGACATCTCTGCCCAGCCTCTGTTTGGATGAGAGGCAAACAACTATTTGCCTTAAGAGGCAAAAACAAATTTAGAAGTTGATGGGGATGGTGAAAACTGCAGATTGACACGTGATGTTGCAAAAAAGTGCACCTGATGTATTTATTGTTAGAAATCACACCAAAATAATAATTATGTCCTCCATGGTTACCTTATTTTTTTTTAATGAAATTCTCAATTTTCATGAGAGCAGTTCTTTGAGAAACTTCCAAGAAACTGGCAAAATGAAACCTTCAGAGTAAGGACAAGGATTTTGGTAGGTACAGTACAGGACACACTCAGTCACTAAATTTGTGTAGTCATCCAAGTACAAATGCATGACACACAGGCACAATTTGAAGGTCTTTTCTTGCAACGTGAATTTCCAAAGAGTACATCTATCACAGCACCCCTATAAAATAAGAACCAATTAAGTTAGTATTTAAACTACTTACGCTGTACCGAAATTGTCTCCACTAAAGCATCTAATACAGTATGTACCAAAACTGACTGAAAGGCTTTACATGTAATATAAATCTTTTACATAATGTCTGGCCTTTCTACATAGGTCTTAAAGGAAGCTAAAGATTATGGACAATCAATATGGCTGAATTCTAAAGGTACTACAACAAATCTTAAGTTGAAATAAATTATCATAGCTTCACTGATATTAGCGTAACAAACTTTTAACAGCTCAGAATCTTGGACTGTTTGCCCAAGTTTTACAGAATAATTAAGTACATTACAGTAAGTTAATGGACCTCAATCCAAAGCAAATTAAAGACCATCGGTGTCATATTTTTTTTTTTTTAAAAATAAACTACTGTGACAATTCTTTGTCACTATCATACTGGACAAGCTCTGAAATTGATCTCCTGAACTTAAAACTGAGTTCAGCACAGAGCCACAGTGTAGCTGGCTGAAGTTAAAAGAGTGAGACAGAATGGTTTGGTTGTTTTGGGGGATTTTTTTACTTATTTTCTACATGTGAGGACTGCCTGGACATGACTAACTAACATAAGCCAGTAGGTTATGCCCTATATTTTCACATACTAATCAGCCTGTGGTAAACTTCAAGGTATCAGTACTTTATTATTTGATTACTGAGTCCAAAGGGCTCTTATTTTACTTTTCATTATCATAACTAAAAGGGGAGAGAAAGACAGCCAAAGCAGAGTCCTGGGAAGCTGGGTTTGCAAAATCTAACAGCAGCATGTAAAAAGAAGGAATAGCATTCCACTAATAGGAATGATGCACTGGAATGAAGAGCATGAGTAAAACGTTACATGTCGTAAAACCATCAAAATCATGCTATCAGTTCACACAAAATAATGACAGACAGGCATTAAGAGTTTTAACTTTCTTAACTTTTCAGTGTCCTAAAATACACTTTGATTTGATCATTTAAAACTGTGTAGAAACAGAAGCAGTAACTTTTTTGCTAGTTTGATGGAAAATTCTAAAATTTCTCTTTTCTTTACATATTATGTGAATGGTTTAAGAAATCAAGAGCACTTTTAACCATGAAAAGAAAAATGAGAGCCCTTTTAGAGAGGATAGCATCATTTCCTAGTAAATCATTAGCAAATGACTAGCAATTCAGCTTAAACAGTTCTGTAGGTAATGGACTACATGCACAGTAAAGTAAAATATTAAAAATGCATTAAAAGCTACCCCATCCATTTTACTCCAGCTTTCAACTAATAAAGTTATGCTTATTAACCAAAGAGATATTTTGCATACCATCAGAATATTTTTTCACAACTCTTGTATCGGGGTTTGCCTGGCCAGATTTTTGGTAGCAGGTGGGTTGTAGGGGCAGCTTCTGGAAGAAACTGCTAGAAGCTTTCCCGAAGTCTGATAGAGCCAATGCCAGCTGGCTCCAAAGACAGACCTGCCACTGGCCGAAGTAGAGCCTGTCAGTGATGACGGGATAGGAACGCCTCTGTAAAAACGTACCTAAGAAGGGGGGAAAGAAGAACTGTGCCACACAACAACTGGTAGAGAGACAGAGGAGTGAAAATACACAAAGACACCAAGGTCAGTGAAGAAGTGGAAGGAAGGATGAGCTCCTGGCACCAGAGCAGAGATTCTCCCAGATCATGGTGAAGACCAGGGTGAAGCAAGGCTCTCCCCCTGCAGCCCATGGAAGTGACAGGGACATAGATGTCCACTTGTCGCCCATGGAGGATCCTATGCCAGAGCAGGTGGATGCCTGAAGGAGGCTGCAACCTTGTGGCAAGGCCACGCTGGAGCAGGTTCCTGCCAGGACCTGTGGATGCGTGCAGAGAGAAGCCCAGCAGGTTGGCTGGCGCGACTGGTGACCCCACGTGGGACTCGTGCTGGAGCAGGTTCCCCCTGAAGGACTGCACCACACAGAGAGACTCATGTTGGGGCAGTTTGTCAAGAATTGTCTCTCATGAGAGGACTCATGTTGGAGAAAGTGTGTGAAGAAGTTTCCTGTGAGAGGGACCCCACAATGGCCCAGGGGAAGAGTGAGGAGTCCTCCCCCAGAGGAAGAAGCAGTGGTGGAGACAACATCGGATGGACTGACCACAACCCCCATTCCCTGTGCCCCTGCACTGCTTGGGGGAGGAGGTGGATAAATTGGGATTGAGGTTAAGCCCAGGAAGAAGGGAGGGATGTGGGGAAGGTGTTATGTCTCATTACTATTTTACGATTGGATTGTTAATAAATTTAATTGATTTTCCCAAAATTGAGCCTGTTTTGCCCAGGAAAGTAACTGCTAGTGATCTCTCTGTCCTTATCTCAAATCATGGGTCCCTTTTTTAATATTTTCTCCCCTGTCTGGCTGAGAAGGGGGAGTGATAGAACAGCTGTGGTGGGTACCTGGCTGCCAGCCAGGGTCAAACCACTACAGTCTTTTTGGTGCCAAAACCCAGGAAAGGGAGGAATTTGAGATAAGGATAGTAATTGGGAGAGATACCAGGCAAAACAAGGACTGAATAATGCTAAAGAGCGGAATGATTTGGGGGAATTTATGTTCTTATAATTGTGGTGAAGTGATGAGGGATGGATTGTGTGTATCAATTGTCTAGTCCTGTTTGGTGTTACGATGATATTCTTTTGATTTTGATGTTGGGAAAGCTTTTTTTTTGTGTGATGTGAGTGAAGTTTGTGAATACTCTGTGACAAATGTAGGTTTTCATGATAATTCTTAATTGTGTGATTCACAGAAGCGAGGGGTGGAATGTATTGGGTTTGCCTGACCAGATTTCGGTAGCGCATGTCTTCAACACATAAAGTACTGGGAATACTCTTGCTGACAGAAGCACTGATTCCGGATGATAGCAAGCTATAGAATGCTGATCACTGTTTAAATATTTTTATTATTTCCATAGTAAAGCTATGCACAGCAAGAGAAGTTATCTAATATCCAGGAAAAATAAAGGATAAAATATCTGACAACATACACTTACACAGCTTTTTTCTAATAGCTCTTGCTTTCACATGAAGATAACCCTCTACAGAAGGATCTACATTAATTTATCATGGAATTTAAGGTGTTTTAAATTTAGAAAGAATGAAGTGTAGACACTGAAAAATACTCCCAGAACATTTACAATACCTGTCACAAAAGAAAAACCTGTACTGAAATGACTACCAGTTATCTGCTACACTGATTGCTTGAGAACATTTGTTGCCCTTTCTGCAGAGTAATTCTGTGGAAATAATGGAATTCAGCCTGACGAAGACCTGTTGTTTGATGACAGGGAAGTAATTTAGCATTTTCTTACTCAGTCACACATGCAGAACTAGGGAATTTGCACTCAAGAGTGATCCAAATGTACTGAAAGCTCTCCCTGAGTCAGATATTTAGCTAGCAATTTGATTAATAAGATTTTCCAACAGCTGGAGATCTTCTGCTAAACACACTATTTTGTTGCATATTTCCCTGTGGAAGGTCTCAGTCTTTGTGCAAATAAACCACCACAGAGAAACTACAGCAGTCTACGTTTAGTTCAGGCTGTAGCAGTACATGGGGAAAGTAAATATTATTTATTATTTCACCTCAATATCAGATAAATTCAGGAAAAAATGTTTTCTTTCACATAGCATATGTTTCAGATGCTTTTCTGTTAAGATACATGTGCTCAATATTAACTCAAATACGGGCCAGCAGGTGGCACTGGCAACATGCCAGTATTAAAACAGTTGTGCTCAACTGGCATAAAATTGATCACATTACATCTGTCTTATCTTTAATGCTGTTGTAAATGTATAGAACATAAGCTCTTTTTTCATAACACTATCTTTTGGTGCAAGTGTTCTCTTTGATACTGCTACTTAGTAGAGTTTAATAAGGTAGTTACAGAGATGGAAGAACTATCTTCACAGCGAGGTACCATGACGGGACATGAGCCAACAGGCAATAATTGCGCAAAGAAATTCCATCTGCACTTAAGAAAAAATATCTTTCCCTTGACAATAGTCATCACTGGGAGAGGTTTCCCATGGAACTGGAGGAATCCACCTCACCGGAATTACTCAGGACTGGGGTTGAGAGGACTCTAGATAACTCAGTCTGTGGCCCTTCCTTTCCTAAAGGGCTAGACTAGATGATCTCCAGCAGTTTCTTCCAGTTTAGGTTGTTCTGTAAGTCATATGGTTGGGCCATACAACATGGCATCATGCTGAGAACCCCAGACACTGCTCCAAGGCAGCTGTGACATACACAAGGGTGGTAAAACATGCCCAGCAGATATCACTCCAGCTAGGAATTAACAATATGCTTTTAACAGGATAAATTAATCAGCTTTTAACAGCTTCCAGCTTCAGAGCTGGCTCATTTGTGTTGCTTCAAACATGCTAATGTACTTCTGACTTGGAAGACACACTTCATTCAGCCATAATAAGGCAACAAAGAAAAGCCAGGATTTATACAGGCCACAGAGAAATTAACTTGAGGCCCACAGCTGACCTTAAAGCAGACACTTGACACTTATGTTAATACTTACATTCTCTAACCCAAGTAGGACCAAGAGAGGGATAGTTGTCATTCCTCCTTGGATCCACTCTTCTAGAGAAACAGTGCCATCATGATCATAGTCTATTTCTTCCATCATTTCATGAAGGATCTACATGGTTTAACGCAAAATCTCATGAATTTATATTCTAATATAGCAACTTCTTGTTAGAACACATGCAGATCTCCAATTCCCTCACCCACACACAGAAGTAAAGAAAATATTATTTCTATGGCACCTGTAGTAAAATGAATACTGACAGTTCAGAAAATGAAGTGTTAATATCCATATTTACATTTTATCATCACCTAAAGTTCCCAAAATAAGTTGTGCCCCTTGCGTACTTGCCATGTACAACACAAAAAAAGAGGCAGTCACTTAAAAGAAATTTCAAAGACAAACCAGTTGTGTTATAAATGTTAATTACTACATGCACTGACAAAACTTCTGAAATTGCAGAAGTTTCACATATCAGATTCAATCAGAAAAAGAACTGCTGAAAGTGCTCATTGGAAGTGTCATATAGGAGCACAGACCATTATTATTATTTCTATTTTACTAATATATAAAATCACATGTTGACATAAGGTATCATAAAATGATTAAACTCCACCTCTAGCAGCCTTAAAAATCTGTGAAAAAATGAATACTTACTGGACTCAGTTCAGTAACATCCCATTCAAGGTATTCTGCAACATGCATCATTTGAGCAATGATATTTTCCAACTCCTGGAATGACAATATTTAATTCAATATTATATATTCTACAGCAAGGAACTAACTGAAACTTATTTCATTCAGTGACAGTATAATCAATGCTCCTAATGAAATATCCTTTACACTAGAAGCTGTCTACTCTGAGGTGAATCTGCTTCATGTGCAAAACATTAGGAATGGACCACAAAGCCTACAGTGAACCAAAATGCACCCCTACAACCAAGAGGCAGCTCCTGGGTTGAACACAGTAATACATTCTTCCTTCCTAGTCGATCATTTGATCTTAAGGCAACCCTGTGATGTAATGATGTAAAAAGCCCTTTAAATTCCAGCACTCTAACAAACTATTTTTTGGCAGCAATTGTATAATTCAAAACTTTGTAATGGAAACCGAGCATCAGGTGGACAATAGAAACTAATACAAAGGTATTTTCTTACCATTACAGTGTTGTAATTTCCCTTGATCTCGTACCGCTAGTGCTTCTTCCATATCCACATACACAATTTGGTTTGTAAACATGCTCAAATGCTTACCTAGAACCATTCTGAATTCTCATATGCAGGCATTATGCACAAGTTAACTAATTCAGATTTTGCATTGCCTAAAAATACGATACAGTATTTACTTCATACCTCTATGTATCTCGGCTTCCCTATTCCCCTACCACTTATGGCAGTCACCTCCTTTTTACCAACCCACTCTATGCTGTCTTACTTTAGGGAGATACAAAAGAGGATGGGTAAGAAAAAAAAAGAAAGCTGACAATAAAATACTTCTTTCTGTTGGCTAACAGGAAAAAAAAGTTACGGTTTTAAATGCTTGTTTTTATCCCAATCTTCCCGCAAACATTTGGTGGAGTACTCCTCAAAACTTTAATATTTTTTCTCCATTCTTTAGAACAACATGGAAGTTCTGACATCACATAGATCCACTGTGTGACTCTTACAGTCTCCCCTTTTAATGAAATCTTGACTCTCATACACATTTCCTAGAGCATATTAGGATTTCAGGAATCATATTAATGTGTCCCCTACAGTAATATGATTAAAAATCAAAAGGCTATAGAACAGAACCCCATGCCAGCAGTGCCAGCATTTGAAAATTTATACAGTTGTAAAAGCAGCAGCTCAATGGAAAAGAAAACTCAAAAGTTTCTTTTAAAATGAGTGACTGTTTATCACTAGAATTTATACTGCTTCTATTAACTCAGGATAAATATAAATTTGGTTTGGAACATGCTATTATGACGTACTCCTCAAAATGCATTAAAATGGATAAATGTCATTACCGAACTATCCAGGTAGCCATTCCCATCTGTATCGTACAAGCGAAACATAACTAAAAAGGAAACAAAAAATGAAAACTGTTAGAACACAGAGCAACTACATTATTTTACGCAAAAAAAAAACACAAAACCCAAACCAAAGCACAAAACAACAGAATCTGAGTTTCAAAAGACAAACATGAATATTTTCCTTTAATGGTCACACTAACTGTAGTTAAAAAATTTGTATGATGCGAGAGGTTGACTCCGAGACTACCATGCCCCAGCACCTCCAGTGAGACACAGTCAATTGCACCTTTTCCACATAATTACTCCAACAGCTCATTTGGTCTGTAAACTTAATTTTGGTTCCTCCTAGAGACGATCTGTATTCATGATGAGTACTACCAAAAGGTCCTTCTCCGTTTCCTCACCCAACACAGGATAACACACAATTGGTGACAAGTCTGCCAAAGTTACAACACTTTCAGAGCCCCTTAGTCGCTGCTCTCACTATTCAGCAGTGATACTGCTTTAGAAATGCTTTCTGACCAATGAAATAAAACAGAGGATTACTATTTGAAGTATTTAGTCAGTCAAATGAACAATGAACATTCCTCACTGACTGCCAGTATGAATCTTCCTAGGACCAGACTCGCTTCATCAATTGGAAAATGTGTCCCCCACATTTTGGGGAGCTACTCAAGACAAGAATAGCTGCATTTTTGACAGTATCCTGAAAGAAGATAAACTTCCAAGTTTCTGTCATTACTTGATTCCAGCCACAAGAGCAGGTATGTCCACACATACCAAGATCCTTCAAAGCAGCTTACTCAGACGATCATATACTGCATCAAATTGCAGAGCAGAAAGCAACCTGAAGCTTTGGTAGGAATACCGTTAAAAGACTAAAGACAAAAAATCAAAAGGGACTTTTTGTCTCTTCTTTCTAGGGCAGTTAGTCAGAGTGCTGAAATCGAAACACCATCCCTTTCACAAGTGCTCATTTTTTCCCTCTAGATCTATTTACTAAGAAGAAGAGAGCCCATGTAAAGGTGATTCTAGGATGCTTTAATGCCTTGACTGATGGCAAAACCCAAGCAATCTGATAAAACAGTTTGTAAGCAGATGTCTTCGGAAACGTACCATACGACCTACTCAACAGCAAACAATCCTGCCACATTAGGTCCACAGCAAAATAATAATAACAGTCCAATAAATTCTGCAAGCAAAACTTACCACAGCTGTCAAGAAACAATATAATGAGAAGTGAGAGGAAATTCTCAGCAATTAAATTCAGGAAGAATTTGATTATTTTCTGACTTCCAGCAAAACCTGTTTTACTGCTACATGAACTGGTTTGCTTCCCTTTACATCCCCCACCTTATTCCCAAGTTGTTCATCTAACTGTGGGGGGAAAAAAGGCAATTACTGTACCTCTCTACCACTCCAGCAATTTTTGCCACTACGTCACACTGCTCTTAAAAGCTGTAATGTATGACTGAAGGTCATATATTCAAGCTACAAAGGTCCATCATTCATTACTTAGGGACTAAGAAAACCTCTAAAAATATCTTTGACTGTGAATTCGATAGCAGAGAAGCCACCAGAGACTGGTACTGTCCCTGTCAGTACGCCTTCTACCAAAGCTGCTCAGAGCATGACAGCTAATATTATCTGGCAAAGGTACCATTAAGCATCCACAGTTTCCATAGGGATGAATCACTGAGTCACTCAGTGATAAGGTTCAAATTATTTGATTCTCCTTCCTCCTCTGCGCTTGTTAATGCACTGGTTGAAAAAATGTTCTACACTTACCAAGAAAGGAACTTTCAGCATCTCACTGATCTTTACCCACTCCAGAGAAGTAATGCTTAGAAATTTTTTCCCCTTTAATATGATACAGTATTTCTAACGAGTCATTTAAAAACAGACATTAGTGTAATTGTAACTGTTTCACCTTTGCAGCAAACAAAGTCTCCTCGATTACATATGTATTGGGTAGTGAAAAGGCTCAATCTGTGCTCTTGGCTAGACTGAAAAACTATGCTACTGGTGCAGCACGCAATCTCTTCTCCTATTCATATCCTGCTAAATATTTATGTTCTTGCTGATTTATGCACTCTAGGAGAAAAAAACAGCACCAACAAAAGGATTAAAAAAATGAACAGAAGCTCTGATGCACACTACAGAACCGGAGTCAATCTATATTTATTTTTCCATTCCCTTACATGATAGCACTGCTATACTTTCACCTGCAAACTCTGAACTTCTCTTCCTGAATACGACAAAAGGCAGCATCCCAGAAATTCCAAAAGTTCAGAGTTCAGTTCTTTTGAGATTAAACTGAGGAATTAATTTGTTAAAACACACGCACAAAAAAAAGTGCTGAATGCACTTTCCTATTTTCACCAGCACAGGTACTTTGAAAACTATAAGGCTTGTCACTCTCCATAGAAGCCTGAAACAGATGCCTCAAACAGCCTTGGCCCGAATATGCATGAGATCAGGAGTTTTGCAAAGGCAGGATGGCCTTTGTCTCACAGCATATCTCCCCAGGAGACGGGCAATTGCTACACTAATGAAGCTTATTAAAAGCAGTTAAGGACCTTGCTCCTCCACCTGACATACTGCAATTCTGCACGCAGAAAAGTTTGTATAAATTGAGGTGGGAAAAGCAAAAAGCGAGACAGAGAAGAAGCACGACATAGAAGCATGTAGACAGAGATGAAGATAACAAGAAGTAGTGCAGGAGGAGAAGAAATACAGATGACAGCATCCTTGAACCCTCATCAGTGGGACCAACGCAGGAACCCAGACAGTGATCTGTCTCTCTCCTCCTCTCTCTTTCTTTCCCTTTCCACTTTCTTACTAAGTAACACAAGGCCTATTGTGCTGCTTGCTTAGTTTATACTTAGTTTCTTTTTTGTATTTGTTAAGTATAATACTTCCTGTTATAAGTTGTTATATGCCCTTTTTCCTTGTTATCATTGAGTTGCTGGTGTGTGATATCTAGTCTTTTCCTGATTATCATTAAGTGATACTATATTGCCTGCCCTAAGGTGTCTGGTAACTAAAACCAGTAACATGAGTCCGATCTATACGTTGGGAGAAATTAATAAATGTTTGTGTATGGGCTTTGAGATTTGTCTCACCGCCTCCCTCTTCTGGGTGGGATGTGACAAGGCTCTTAATTAAAAAAACAGTAAGTAATTTCTAGTCTCCAGTGTCAAACGCTCACCCCTAACAACAGTGCAGACTTGAAATATTCTTGCCTTTTCTGTATTCACTAGTAATATAGAGTCCACAACCTATATTAACAACTATACTTTGAATTAGCTTGTTTTGTACAGATTATTCACCACTTCGATAGATCTCTAAACATCCTCAGTATATTTCATTTGTTTGTCTCAGAAATGATACTAACAAAAAGATCCCAGTATAAAAAGGATGTTTACTGCACAATGTACGATCCTTACTCCCCATCGTATCATATGCTAGATATTTAGTTATAATCTCACCAAATTAACAATATTAGCTAGAATAAAGGATCATTTCTGCAATAATGGTCACGTAGACCTGCATTTTTATGAGGCAGCTATTCAAACCTGAGTCTTAACATCAGAAAACTTAGAATTTTTGACAACTTATTAAAATACGTATCTAAAATTAACTTAAAATAATAAACATACATTCCAGCTTGTCTTCAGGTCTTCCTCTTTCTAGCAGTGACAAATAGCAAACAATATCTTTCAGCTGGATCATGTCTGGTAGATGTAAGTTGGCAGGAGTAGGAGGTCGGGATGTAGAGGTACCTTTGTTAAGTCTCAGACCTGGAAATAACATACAGCCCTTGTTACTCTTAACATATGACATAAGTAGAAAAAGAAAACACAACTCTTATATACATGCATCTTCATTTTATGTGAATCCCAGATGACCTTTTCATTTAAATATAAAAGTGAAGTTTTAAACAACTGATGTTCGTAGTTTATCCAGCAAAGGCAGAATTAAAATGATCGCGAGGTTTTAAAACATCATACGGATAAAACAAACTATCGGGAAAAATCATCAATCAATTACAGGAAAAGCATAACTGCTTGTTAAATTTGTGTTGATCTGATGTAATTCGACTACAAGAAAAAAAATGGTGAACATTTTTTTTCACTACATTACATGTTAATTAAAGTATTAAAACAATCTCTGCCCAATGCTCCATTTCATTGTGCTTATAGAATATTCTTCTCATTTAGAACTTAACACTAGCTACACTATTTGGAAATGCTTTAGTGTCAAAGAAAACTCAAATAATACCCAGGTGTGTAGTCTTCCCAAAACCACAGCCAGATGTACGTCAGATCAACACATATTTAAAACATGGGAACCTCAGCTACAGAACACTATGAAAATAAATATAGAATTTAAGTAATAGCTGTAATGATCACTCAAGCCTTGTGATCAAGAACAGTTCCAGTGTACCACTTGGAACAGAAGTTTCAACATCGCCAAACTTTTTGTTTCAAGAGAACATTAACATGGCTGGTCCTGATGACATTACTGAAATCTGCAGGACCAATAAATAAAGGGAAAAAAAATAAAAAGGGGAAAGATAGGAAAACACAGAGAAAGAAGTAACAAAACTTTCTTTACAAGTTTGATACATTTCTCACTGACTTTAGTGATGTTAAAGACGAAACTTTATGAAATGATTTACTGTTCTCAAATATTTTCTATAAGTAACTCAGAGCAGATTTGTCATTGCACATACAACCAGCAAACATCTTTTTCACAAGTAAACTACTGTAGCAAATAGAAATAGAATTCTCGTGGCAGTTTTTTCCCCTCATTTCTATCTTGAAAAACATCATTACAATCTCAGGACATATGCAAAGGTCTAAGGTCTAAAGGTCTAAATAACAGCCAACTGGCATGCAGAAAATATATCTCTGAATCAAAATCATGTTCGTGGTTCCAAGTAGAAAATAAAAACTGAAAAAAAAAAAATTAATAAAAAGATTTAATAGGATGATGTTCTATTAAATGAGCTTGCTTTAAGTGCCCTTAAAGTTAAGACATTAAAAAATGTTAATCAATTAAGAAGTTAGTTTTAATCACACAATATAGTCTTATGTGAATTTTATGCATAAGAAAAAAAAGTAAATATAAAACTTGTACCGACTCATCTCATAAATGTGTACAAAAGGCACACAAATGTTAAGGTATCATCAGCTCTGAGGTACAGGTTAGAGTATTGCTTCTCAGTCAGAGGTGGCAGAGGGGTGGCTGCAACATGCTGGGCTTTCAGATGACTTCCAGTGGGACTGCTTACCTGGCATCTGTTTCCATCTCTCTTCAGATACCTTAACTGAAAATACAATTAACAGACATGAGTGGATCAACAGATACTAAGTAAAAACTGGACACATACCAGAAAGATTCATGTGTCCTGCTACTTTCCTTGTGATCTTCTCTAGTTCCCATGTACCTTTCAATTTTCCATAGAATGTCAGATGTTTCTGACAAATTTATTCTCCAGTATGGGCAGGTTTTTTCACTATCGGTAACATTTAAAACTGCTTGATATCCTAAACCAAAGGTTTCTGTAATTTTCATTTGCACATCAAAGCTACCAACACACACTTTTTCCCCTTTAAATGCTACATATCATAAAGATATAATATCTGGTTTAAATCTCATGAGATTGAATTATAATATGAATTTTCAAGCACAAACAACCCTTGCACACAGTGAACTGAACTGTTTCTCTGAAGATGGTTTGGCTGTAAAATTTATCAAACTGTTCTTCCGGTATTACACAAAAAATACTTAAGCTACTAATCTGGTCTCACGTTACATTATTTTTGAAGTCCTTACTAACAGAAATAGGTGAAAAGTAACGACAAACTAGGAAAAGTGGAGAAAAATTTTAGGAGGTAGCGTTGCAGCAAGAAACTCAGCATACAGTTTAAGCAACAGCAATAGTAGAAATAACCACCAAAATAACGACTGATACTATTACTACTGTTTATTTATTTAACACACATAAGAATAAAATCTATCAGCAAGAATTACAGTGAAAGTGAAGAAAGTCAAGTACAGCGAATAGTGGGCACAACTAAATTTTAAATCTGACTGTGACCTAAGAGCAGTTGTTTTCACTGCCACATATTAAGTGTCCAAAACATAGAAATACAATATCAGAATGATATTTGTTTTTTTTTGAAATAACAGTAGTCAGACAACATATCACAGAATCACAGAATATTCGGGGTTGGAAGGGACCTCTAAAGATCATCTAGTCCAATCCCCCTACCAGAGTAGTATCACCAGTTCACTGGTTAACCATAAGGTAAAATATATGGAAAAGTACAGTATAATAAATAAACCCACCACTAAAGGGCAGCTGCCATTGAAGTTATCAGGCAAAAGTCATAAAATATTACAAACTTTGGTGGCTAGAAAAGTGCATTTTTGTTGCTGATGCTACTCATTGATGAAAAAACATTATGAATGCTTCAATGAAAAATTAAAAGTAATAAAAGTGGAAATGAAATTGTGCTGCTCAGACTTCACAGGCAACAGAATCTGTACTGATAGTTGACAAAAAAACAATGCTGAAAATTCATGGCATGCAAAATGCACTCAACAGTATGCAATAAAGAATATATTTAGACATGTCCTTAGAGATGCTGTTGCAAAACATCTTGAAGGGCAAGGGACTGAATCACTGGTCTAAATTACTTGCCCAAACCTATAAGCAATTATCAGAGCTGTAATTAGCAACAGAAGATTTAGAATATTCCATACAACCGATTACACTATATTCTACTAAATCTACTGCTCTGCAGAGGAAACCAGTCTTAAATAACTATCTACAGAAGCCCAAAAAGCTGGAAATGTACTTGCAACAAAGCGGGTATTTGTGGAAGGAGATGTGTCTGTGGCAGTTCTGATTGAAAAGGATGAAACAAAGATAACCAAAGAATTCAACTCAAATGAAAATTATTTTTTTCTTATGAAGAATCTTACTTTCAATGTGAAAAGGAAGCTTTGCTATCATAAAAGCTTTTTCGATAAGTGTAATTAGAGCTAATAACTGTTATATATATTATAAGATAATAGAAGACAATAATGTAATAAGGGGTGTTTTTTTGTTTGGTTGGAGTTTTTTTGCCAGGAAATATAAAGTGAAGAAGTGGAAATAACAAGTACCATAAACCTAAGTAAAGAAAAAGAACTGAAACCCATCTATTTAAAATATTTGAGAACAGCATGCACTGAAAACCAGGTCAGATTCAATGGGTGATATCCGAAAGCCTATAAATTAGTATTGGAAATGTAGTGCTTGGCACCTGCAAGAAAAGCTACCGTTTCAGCTAGTGGTGCTTGTACAAATTCACAACTTCTGTAGGAGTCGCAATTTGAAGACATGTAATGTTCATATAAAGAAATCGAGTGGATTAAGTACCCATCAAACCCTCTGGTAACTTACTCAAAGCACTTGACTATCCTGGCTGTTCAAAATGTGTGATTTATTTCATTAGCCTAGCTTCTGCTTTTAGCTACTGGATTTTGATAGAATTGCCAATCTGCTAAAGTGCTAAATCAAGCCAGGAAGATAACCTCCTGCAAATTGTCTTTAGAAGTTTGGTAAAATTTCGTAAGTTGACACTTTTACGCACTATTTTACATGTAAATGTTTCAACAGGTTGTGTCCTATGAACTCAATGTCACTTTTATTAAAAGTGTTCACTTTAGCAAGAAAACTGCATTGAAGAAGATCCTTACATTTGGAAAAGAAATACTGCTAACGCTTACAGGATATTAAAGTATCAGTAGCCGATAAGTATGTAAGATTAATATTAGCAATACTACATCTAGAGAACTAAGAGAAGTAGCAGTAACTGGGCACAGAAAGTGAAGAGCATGAGCAGGAGCCTCCTGCATGAAGCTCTGAAGGTTTCTAAGTCTTTATACTGTAGAGTAGGCAGCAAGATTGGGTAACCATAGCAATCTGATTAGCATTAACGTGGCACAGACTGTCCACTTGGTGTCTCAGCTGCATCACTACTGTGAATTAAAAAGACGAAACCACTTAATTTCTTTTCACAATATTTCTTGTTTGTGATTGAGATAGTTTCTCCAGCTTCACAAATACCAGAAGAGAAAAAAGAAACACATATTGCTTAGAATTCCATATATTTTTTGCTATTAGAAGTAAAACTTACCTCCTGAAAGGTGCTGGGGTTTGTTTTTTATTAACGGACTGCAGTGAGAGATTTTGTTGCTAAATGATGTGAAAAGATGCTCAATGAAATCATCTGGTAACTCTGCCTCCAGAAAAGTCTTCATGAACAGCTTGAACCCCTCTAAATCAATTGTCTAGAGTGAAAAGAAAAAAAATATGTTTTGAATTATTCATTTTGCAAAAGCATTTATACTAAGCCATCTAATAATATTCTGTTACCAAAAACTTTAGATTGTCTTTGAAAATACTGATTTCTGAAGAGATAGCCTGACATACCTGCTCAGACAGATTACTGAATTAAGTATTACTTCAAAAACTCACGGTATAGCTACAGCAGCCCAAAATATGGCTTAACAGCACATATAAAACTGCAGTCGTAGGCACCTACTAAGCTAACAGGGACATACCTAGCAAGTCTTAGCTTCTCCCATAATGAGGCAGGTAACAAGCAGGGGATTTTTGAATTTGTAATTCAGAGAATTAAAGGCCTCCTGTCTTTTCTTAGGTGGCAACATGTTTTGCTGGTACTTGTCAAAGAGAAACTAATCACTCTCTTAAATTGGTTCTAACAGTCAAATGTGAGCGCTGAGACATGCAACATTACTTACAGCAAAAAAAGAAGTTACTGATTTGAAACATTTGCCATTTAGATTAATTTGGTTTTGCTTTTGCCAGCAAGGTAAGAGGCGATTCATGAAACTTTATTGATAATTTCTCCTGGTAAAATAGCACAGTCTCTTTTAAGTAATACAATGAATCACAGAGTATCTCCAGTTGAAGGAAATCAGGATCGTGAAGTCCAACTCCCTGCTCCTCACAGGACTCCCTAAAACCAAATCATATCACTAAGAGCATCGTCCAGATGCTCCTTCAACTGTGACAAGCTTGGTATCACGGCCACTTCCTCGAAGAGCCTCTTACAGGGACCAACAACCCCCTCAGTGAAGAACCTTCTCCTAAAGTCCAATGTGAACTTCCGCTGATGCAGCTTCACTGTATTTTCTCATGTCCTGTCACTGGTCACCAGAGATCAGCGCCTATCCCTCCGCCCCTTAAAGAGGATGTAGAAGGGGATGAGGTCACAGCACCGTAAAGCTCTATGATCTCATGTTAACCTGCTAAGGCAGAACCACTAAAGATAAAGGTGTCCTGAAACAGACTGAGAGAGCTTAAGACAACTTCAGTTTTATCTCAGAAACGGCTGCGCCACAACTACAGACATCTCAGTGATGCTACTCAGGTACACGTGTGATGTGAAAACAGCTTATCAATCATTAGTCTGTAAAATACAGTGTTGCAGTCTTTGTTTCTAGATCAAACAGGACAGAAACTTTTCACCATTAAATAATTAAGGGATAAAGCCATATTATAACACAAAGTTTAACTTGGAGAAATTTCCCCTTTTCTCCATAGAAAACTCTAGTGCAACTCCTTTAGTTCATCACAGTGAATGTAGCATTAGAAGGGAAAAGACTAGCAAGAAATCAACTGGAATGCATGCCAGAAAAAAAAGAAAATTGAAACTAAATTTTCAAAGTGCTTCAGTAATTTTGGAATCTGGGTCACAGTATAAATAATTTTTACAATGACTGTACTATCATTTCAACACTTCGCGGCAGGGAATTCTCTCTCTTTGCCGTTTTTGTTTGTTTAAGAAATGTAGAAATTTTATGCCCATATGAAATAAAGCATTTCCCATTAAGACCAAGACCTAACTGCCCCAGGGTAATGTTTTAAATGTGTATCATGGTCTTTATGGGGGACCAACAACAGAGATTGCAAAATTTGACTGGTCTTGTGCAAGTCATTATTATTAGGAATGCAAACTTGGCCAAGGGGTATCTGTGCTGAGCTTCTAATATAGAACACTTCATTTGAGAAAGAAACTTGGTGAAGCCGATAAAACTCTTACCTATTGAGGAGAAAAACAGCAGAGACTGAAAAAAAGAAATTGCCTCCACAAGTCTGAAGTTGGGCATAACATGGAATTAATCGACTTGGACACAAACTCACTACTTTCATCTCAACACAGAGCTTCAGCCACTCTCTTTACTTGAGCAAATCATGCTCTGTTTCATCCATGCTACAAACTTTATGTTTTTCCTCAATGAAGTCACTGACATCTAATTCACTCTTTATAAACTGCAAAACCACAATGGCAAAAGGATTTCTATCAGCATCCAAGTAAATTGGTCATTAGTCTACACTACAAAAATGCATTTTTTTATCTGCAAGCATAATAAATACATTAATCACTAAATCAACAGACTTTAAAAATGTGAAATTGCTTTGTTAGATTGTTCATTAATGAAATTTACTCTTAGCTATTTCAGTAAATTACATACAAAGAGGAATAATCAAGTGAAAAAGGAAAATAGAAACATAAATTATAATCCCGTTTCAGTTAAGATTTATGGATGGATATGTAAAATATTTTTGTATTATATAAATCTTTTTTCTAATTTACCTTGTCTGTGGATTTTATGTGTATACTGCTAAAAATATCCTTGAGTTACAGCTCTCTTAGATTTTTAAACTGCTGCCTGAGTGACATCGGTCCACCAACCTGCCAGCAATAACTAAATTCCTAATGCTACATTTTTCCATGTATGTGTTTCAGCATTATACCTGGGTAGAGATTTGGATTAATAAATAAGGTTAAATCTATGTGCTTCTTTCTTCCTGAAGACTCTTATTTCTCAGATTTGTTCAAACTTTTCAGCATTTTCTGAAGATGGTCAGATTATTGTTTATCCTAGCGTTCTACAAAACAACTGTTCCAAACTGCCTTGTCTTTTCTAGCCAGGAAAGACGACAGATATCAAAGGAACTCACTACTCGGCTGCCATGACCATCCATTTTTAAACAAGAGCAGGGTAGATTTAGATTAGATGTTAGGAAGAAGTTCTTCACCATGAGGGTGGTGAAGCACTGGAACAGGTTGCCCAGGGAGATAGGTGGGGGAGGCTCCATCCCTGGAAGTGTTCAAGGTCAGGTTGGGCGAGGCTTTGAGAAACTTGGTCCATTTAAAGTTGTCTCTGCTCACTGCAGAGGGGTTGGACTAGATGACCTTTAAAGGTCCCTTCCAGCCCAACGCATTCCACGAGTCTACTATATGTGACACCCTGACTGCCACTGGTTAAGGTGCTCAGCAAAGGACAAAAGAAAGCGGGTGGTTGTTCTGTATGGTTGTTCTACAGTCAGATTTGTTCAGCTGAAAGTGCTTTATCGTCTCTGCTCTAACATGCTCTGTGATCTGTATTCCCCCAGGGAAGCAACAACAGCTGTACAATCAGAGTACACACATCCAAAAGCTTTCAAACGATGCCCCAAGTTCGGAGCTGGTTAGCGACTTGAATAGACATCAGAAAATGCTTGTAATAGCCTCAAATGCAGATCATAGAATCATAGAATCCTAGAATGGCCTAGGCTGGAAGGGACCTTAGAGATCATCTAGTCCAACCTCCCTGTCATGGGCAGGGACGCCTCTCAACTAGATCAGGCTACTCAAGGCTCCATCCAACTGATATACTACTACATACTGTACCAAAAGAATGCACAACAAGTCCTGCCTAAAGGAGATCTACACATTTAGCCCTGTGACTAGTTTCTTGCCTATGTGAAAGACACCATGAAGTTCCTGATTCTAACACTCTAAAGATGAAAAATATTTTCAAGGGGATCTAACATACTTGGTGTAGATAATCATATTAGAATTGACTTCTAAAGTAATGCAGTCACCTCTGGAAATTTCTTTTTATAAATGTATATACAGCAAGTAACAGAGATGAGCAAGCCTACACCAGATCTAGGAGTAATTTAGATTATCCATTGACTTTTCCAATGAAAAATGAGTAAGCTTTCAAAAAATGGTTCACTTTAAATTACTTTCAGTGCTTTCCATATTATCTCCTTCTAATTGTAGTATACCTAAGTCATTACGTAACTGCAGAAAATGGAATAATTTCTTAAAAGAAATACTTTGACGGCCACTGTAGAAATCTTACAGGTGTTAGAGTATTGTTAGCAAGTAGAGGTTTCAGCTCTGAGCGTGGTTCATTTACAACAGCACACTTAAAGATGGAAAACATTTGTTCTTAATTTTAAAAGAACTCACACAGAAGACAGAAAAACACAATATTATGAGTATTTCTCTAATCTGCAATTAAACAGTATTTTCTTCTTTTTTTTTGGTCATGGAACTTTACACTTATAAAATATGAAAATGGAAGTACCTTTCCTCTAACTACTCCCAACTCCCCCCAAACACAGCTACTTCTCAGAGGAACCACACATTATTTTGGTAACCAAAAAGACCAAAAAAAAAAAAGAAAGCAGAGGACATTAATTTTCCACACTAACATAGATCGTGCTCACTCTATGTAAGCCACAGTATCTTCCTATTATATCTCACTGACATATATCTGAATTTCTCAGATGAAAAGTTCAATAAATTTTGGTATGATTTGAAAAGAATTTATTTCTGTTAAGGAATTTACAAGCATTAAACAATCCAGATCAATACTATCAGAGTAACACATATGTCATAATGGTGGATGTTGTTTTCTTAAGCAGGCTAATTGCTTCATTTTCAACAGTGGCTTGGCTTTCAGAAGCTCCAGTTAAATTCAAATGAACCTGAGAAAGAAGGATTTAGCATTTCTGAAGGCATTTTGCATGATGTTTCCCAAGTGAAGGGATGAGAGCATGAGAGGATGCACCCAACTGATTACAATTAAGCCAGCACATGAATTAATTCATTCCAGTACACAAGAGACTGTCTGGGCATGAGGAGATTATGATCACAAGTTCAGAGATCTCAGGAAAATTTTCAGCATAACAGGAAGATACATAAGGACATAGTTGAAGCAGCCAGGAGTTTTTCAGAGGAACATGAAAGGATTTTTCAAATCATTTGGCCTAAATCTTCTGAGGAAAGGGGTGGGGGGGAATAAAATAAAATTCTGTGCTGTTCTACCTTTTATGCAAATAAAAAAAGGTATCAAAAGCCTTGCCTGTAAGTCACAGAAGGGAAGGTGTCTTTATTTTAATCGTATATAATCGGATTCCTACTTTAAATGTTAGAAAACTGATTCATCAAATTTACTAGAGCTCCTTTTCTTACAAAAATATT